AGCAGTATGTTTAGAGTTACAAGACATTAGATATTTCACAAAAACTGACTTTTTAAAAATTTTTTTGTATATTTTTTGTATTCTAAAGGCCATATCTCTGACAATTTTAAAGATAAATCGTTCGACTTTTTTTTAACTTACAGATAATTTTATAAGCTTTAATTTTTGTAAGCACTGTTAATCGGTTAAAATGCAATGGGAGGGAGTAATTTAAAAAAAATCGACTTTTTAACACATTTTTCACGGTTTTTCAAGTATTTTTATGGGTTAAAATTGTTGTAAAGAATTGAGCACCTATGGAACATTAATTTCGGTTATTTTAAATGAATTAAGCCCATAATAACCTTACAATTATATATTTTTTTCAAAAATATGTTAATTTGAATTTTCAAAATATCGAAAAAATGAGTTTTTTCAAAAACGGCTCAGGCGATTTTTTTCTTTTTGGGCTCAAAATTATCAGGAGACATCCTAAAAAAGAAATCAAGAAGAAATTTTGATACGCAAGCTTCTTTGGGTTGAACTTTACTCAGACCCACCGTGTATTGGCAAAAAAATCAGTCTAATTTTTAGGCAATACTTAATCTCATCTGTTTACCTGTTTATTTTGTTATTCATGACAGATGAAAAACACAAATTGAACATAATTCTGTTTTTTTTTAAATATGCTTGGTCGCCATTTTGAACTTTTAATCACCAATTTGAATTTAACGACACAAGTAAACCCTGTAAAAAAGTTGTTTAGCATAAGCCAAGATTCCGTATACAACTCTTAAGCTGATATGTATACGGAATCTTAAATTTTCCGTATCACAGTCTTTACTGCAATACGAAATTATAAGGAGGTTGTATAGAATCAACTTTTGCATGACTTTTAATGATAAAATACCTGTTTTAAGATAAAATTAAATGAAATTATAAGGGAAATAACAATTCAAAGATATTAATAAATAAAGTTATTTTAATTATTATTATTATTATTAATAGATAAAGTTACTTACTAAATACCCAGTGGGCAAAGGGACGTCTTAAAAACGTCTAAAAGATGTCTTATCTTGTCCGCGCACATCCGGGGACAATGATAGTAAAGTCTTGGAGACATCACAATGATAACTAAAAGACGTCCATAAAATGTTCTATGTATGGTCTAAAAGATGTCCGAAAAATTTTTAAAAGACATTGAAAAGGATGTCTAAAAGACGTCTTTTAGACGTCCTTTTCGCACCTCTTCTGATCTTCTTAAATATACATTTTTTCACAATATTTTCTAAGTTAAAATACATTAATATTGTATTAAATTTATTTTAAGTTTCATTTTATATTATTAAAATTACACAGAATAAATGGAAAAATGTCTACGAAACTGGGATCGAACTCGGATACCTTGGGCTTGAAGCATTGCGCCTTAAGCACCTCAGCCGTAGAAGCCAGATATAAACCTCTACAAAGTTTACGATGTCACTTCTTAATGAAATAAATTTAACTTAGAAAAATTCCAATAACTTTAATCTTCGACAGTTTATAAGTCCATGTTTAACTTAGAAAATAACATTATATATTTACGAAAATTTTTCTATTTTCAAAATTTGAAAAAAGACATCTTAAAGAAATGAAACGGCCAAGATATAAAATATTCTTAGGACGTCTTTAAGACGTCTCAAAGGCGTCTTTTGCCACAAGTCCAAGAGACGTCCACAAAAACACATCCTTAGGACGTCATTTGAACAAGTGTGCCCACTGGGTATGTAAGCTGTGATAAGATGATGGTAATGATTTACCCGATAATATTGTTCTTAGTTACCGACAATAGATATTAATTAAACGCGATTTATGTGAATTTTATTGTCTGTAATGAATTTTTTGTTTTAATTTTAAAAGTTTGTAAATAAAAAAACCATTAACACTTTAGAGAAAGCAGGTAATTCAAATAAAACAATAAAATTCATATAAACCGCGTTCAATTAATATCTATGGTCGGTAACTAAGAACAATATTATCGGGTAAATATTTACCATCAATGTACTCTTTTCATATTGCTTAAATATTTAGTGAATAAAACAACATTTTTAATTATTCTATATTAATATTCAATAATTAATTTAATCTGAAAACAGGTATTTTATGATTAAAACTCATGCAGAAGTTGTCCATATACAACCTCCTTATAATTTCGTATTACAGTAAAGGCTGTAATACGGAAAAGTCGAGATTCCATACACCAGCTTAGGAGTTGGTATACAGAATCCAGGCTTTTTCTTTGTAACTTTTTTTACTGGGTAATTTGGTTTCTCTGATCTAATTTCTAAAAATTATTTATTGCATGATCTCTGAAAAAACTGATCTTCTCTTGCCGCTGGGGTGTGATCTTTTAAGTGAATGGAGTCTGATTTCACTCTAGCTCAATTGGTAGAGTAGCTTACCGGCAGTAAGCCTGTTCTGAGATCATACCCCTGCAGCGAGAGATGATCAATCTTTTTCAGAGACCGCATGCACTAAATAATTTTTAGAAATTTAATCACACGAACCTAGTCCTAGTGTCCATTAGATCTCTTCTTTCTTCCAAATTAAAATTTCCAATCAAAAATTAAAAAAAAATTCATATCCTTTCTTAAGCTGAGAGATTTGAAATATAAACTTAGTTTTTATAAAATTATTTTTATTGTTGTCTATAATTTGTCACTTTTCAACGGGCATGGGGACATAAGTCTCTTATGTTCTAAGAACGTTTTGAGTACATAAGATGTCTTTAGGACATCCTTTGGGTAGACATAGACATCCTAAAGACGACTTATATCCCGGTGCCCACTGGGTTGATTTGAATTTTACTGTCGTATCCATGTGCGCTTGATTCTTTCTTTAATATTTTATTTGAGACTTGTGAGCATGCTATCGTCTTCCTTTCTTATTTTTTAGTGTGAATTTCTAGAGTGTATTTAATTCAAAAAAAGAAATTTAAAGATCACTAACTATATTCAATGTAAAAATTAAGAGTAGTAGTTAGTAATAAATAACATTTATTACTAAGAGAGAGAGAGAGAGAGTTTATTGCTGTCTCACATTACAAATAGTTATGATCTTTTAATTCTTGTAGTACTTGTAATTCTTGTAACTGTATAGTAGTTAATTCTTTTCTTGTTTAAGGCATTCAAAATGGATGAGACGACTACGAACGCAACAAACGGAGGTAAATTTAATTGTTATCATTCTCTAAATTTGAATAAGTGAAAATTTCGTTGTTTTACTCAGGAAATCTTTGTTTTATACAGTTAGTAAATTCGAGTGGTGACCTAAGTTACATTTTATCTCTATGAACTTAAATTTTAATTAGAACATGAAAAATGCAAATTCACATTCATAAACACTAAAAGTGAGAATTCTTCCACATGCTTGGAATAAATGGATTATACGATTACTTATAATTACCTTATTTATATTATATTTATTGATTGATGATTCTAATAGAAAAAAGTTTTCTCTATCAGAATCACCAATTAATAAAAAATCTGTTTTTTCGCACGTAATGTATTATAAGTGGAAAATATTTTAGAAATTACGTAAATTAAATCTTATGTTTAAAATGTACTTAATTTGTCAGACTTTTTCGGAAGTTAACTAACTTTTATGAGCAGTGCAGAATGTACGTATCTCGTATACTCCGGATCAAAACTTCTTAAGTTTGAGGTTACGTTTAGAACTTGCCTGTGACAGTTTACATGAATTTTCAACAAACGAAATACAACAATGAACGTTATTAAATATAGAAACATTTTATCAAAAATGGAAGTGAAGTAATTGAGAGATTAATTAATATCATATTATTATTTATATTTTTCTCAAAATTCTCAAAAGTAGACTTAAGTGAGTTCTAAAAGTAACCTAAAACTTAAGTAGTTTTGATCCGAAGTATGCGAGGTACGTACATTCTGCACTGTTCATAAAAGTTTGTAAACTTCCAAAACATTTTTTATTTATACCTACGTTCGACTTGGGGTAAACGATATGTTTTCCCCCTTTTTACACAGTAATCTATAATCTGACATTTAATAGCTTCAAATTGACATATGTTTGGTAATTCAAGCTAGTATCTGGAATAATTTCGATGATATCATTCGCGAATCAGCTATTTTTGAAATTAAGATAATACGAATAATACTTCAGAAAAGTATAATTTACTTTTGACTGTGTTTTTTATAAGCCAGAAGTTTTGAACGTTCAAATGAACGAAAATTTTTTTGTAACTTCTTTAATACGAATTTAATTACAAAATATTGTTTTAAATATTTAAAGAAAAATTTAATAATTCAATAATTATATAATTTACAGTTTTATTTTACATTGCCATCATAATTTTTAATAATTTATAGATTGAAAAAAATATTTCGTTCACTTGAACGTTCAGAAATTTTGGCCTATGTTTTTTTAGAATCAAAATTTTGTAACTGTTAACGCCACTCAAAAAGTTAAGATTTCTTTTGAGAACAATTCAAACTGGTTGTCAAATTTGATCCAACCAGGTTTTGTTGTAAAAACCAGTTGGATCCAACAAAAGCTAGAAAACGGTTATTATCTACGATAATCTAACCGACACTTACGAAATTAGTTAATCAGACAAAAGTCTACAGATTAACAAGACTTTATTACTTTACAAACTCTGGGAAAAACCCATAAGGGTCATAAAATCTTTCCTTTTAAGAAAGTATGACGTCACTGAAAAGGTAGGACCTTCTACCTGTTTAGGTATACAAGCGACGGAAGTGAAAAGGGAACTCTTTATAACAACGAACTCACTTCTTCGGTATCTCTCAATGAGTCAACATGTGAAATCTTACGTTTATTAAAATTATTAAAAATAAAAGTGTTAAAGTTTACAAAAATTATTGTGTTTTACTCAAAAACCCAAACAAGGTCCTTCGAGCCGGATATTAAAATCCAAACTTTTGAAGATTTAATTGTGCTTATATTTGAAACACGTGGCCAGTGAAAGTAATCGAGTGTGCAAGATGGAAGAACTAATCGACGAACAAGAAATTGCTATCACCACAATAACCAGAGCAGAAAGAAGCTTCAGAAAACGTCCTCATGGTGAAATGACTGCAGCATACGTGGAAGGTCGACGATCAGAGTTGATGCAAGCTTGGAACAATTGCAAGGCATTGGATGTGAAGATCAACGCAATCGCAAAAGGATCAGATAAGTCTTTAATTTCTTATTTTTCTGAAAGTAAATTTGAAAATGCAGAGGAAAATTATTTACAGACTTTAGACACGTTTAATGAAACAATAGCAAATATAAACACTCGTTTAATCCGCGATTCAGGTGAAAGTTCTCAGTCCCGCGATTCCATAGAGCCACATAGAAGAATTAAATTACCTAGAATTGATTTACCGAAATTTAACGGTAATTATCTTGAATGGCAAAACTTCAAAGATATGTTTGAATCAATGATAGCTTCAGAACATGATTTAGCTGATGTACAAAAAATGCAATACCTCAAATCTTGTTTGGAAGGGGAGGCAGCTCAACTTCTCAAACACTTAGGTACAAATTCGTCAAACTATGCTAGTGCATGAGAATTACTCGAAACTCGTTACGCTAATCAACGCGTAATTATTGACTCATACTTAAATTCATTTATATCAATTCCCCCGATTTCGAATGAAACTGTAACAGATTTAAAACTATTACGCGATACTACGATAGAAGCTCTACATGCTCTTAAAAACTTAGGTCGTAATATTAATGATGACTTGTTGGTTTTTATCGTGTCTAAAAAACTAGGACGTCCGTCATTAATTGAATGGGAAAAATACCTTAGTGACAAAATCGAATACCCCACTTTCAAAGAATTAGATAAATTTTTAAATATACGCATTCGAACTTTAGAAGCTTTACAAAATGCCAAAGAGATTCAAAAAACCCAAAGTCAAAAACCCAAAGAAAACGTAACTAAAATCAAATCTCATAATACACAAATTCGTTCAACTACTTCGATGAGTGATGGTTGTGTTCTTTGTGGTGAAAAGCATTATCTTTATAGTTGCGAGAAATTCAAACTCATGTCTGAACTAGAAAAAAGGCAAATAGTAAAAGATAAACGATTATGTTTTAATTGCCTCAAACCGAACCATGCGGTTCGTAATTGTCGAAATAAAAGTGTTTGTTTAAAATGCAAAAAACCCCACCACACGTTGTTACACTCTGCTCAACCATCGCTCAGACAAGAAACTGCGTTGCTTAATTCCGCTGAAAATGAAAATGTTAAATCTGAAAACAATCAAAAACAAAGTTCTAGTTCGGTTTCATGACAAAAAACAAGCGACCTCTCGGAGAGAAGCAATGTCACTCTGCAATACACAAGTTGCAATTCAGTCCGTTTAGCTACCGCGACAATCTATGTTACTTCCTTTGATATTAGCAAAAAATTAAGAATTAATGCATTATTAGATCAAGGTTCGGAGGCTACATTCATCTCTGAAAATGTAGTTCAATTACTCCATGCCAAAACACACCGTGTCTTAATTAGAGTTAACGGCGTAGATAACGTTTTTATCAGTAATGTAAAGGCTAAAGTAAACTTAACTATATTTTCAAGAACGGAACCACAGAATTCGATTGAGATTTCCGCTTTAGTGTTACCGAGACTTAATAACTACACACGTTTGAACGCAAGCTCTACTAAACAATGGGAACACTTAAAGAACTTAAATTTCGCTGACGACAATCCATTCATAACAAAAAAGTATGAGATGATTATTGGAGCAGATTATTACGGCTCTCTTTTGTTAAAAGGTATAAAAAAAGGTCCTAATGGTTCCCCCATTGCTCAGAATTCCCTTTTAGGATGGATAGTCTCTGGTCCTACGAATTCCTTAGAAACAGTTCCTAGAACTTTAGCTCACCAAAATATAGAAATTCCGGAACTTCAACAAGATCTACAACGATTTTGGGAAGTCGAGGAATGTTTCGAAAAGATAAGCCTTACACCTGAGGAAAAAAGTTGTGAAGAATATTTTAGTAACACACATTCGCGAACAACAGAGGGACGTTACGTTGTTCGACAAATTTTTAAAGACAAAGAGAATCAAATCCTAGGATCATCCTTAGCAAAATCCCTTACTATGTTGACAAGATCAGAAAAACGTTTAGACAAAAATCCTTCTCTTAAGAACGATTATTATGATTTTTTAAAAGAATATAAAACGTTAAACCACATGGTTGAGATAAAACCTGATTTAAAAGACGAAAAACAACGCGTTTACTTACCTCATCACCCAATAATACGAGAAAGTAGTTCAACAACACGTGTCAGAGTAGTTTTTAACGCATCCAGTCTTACTTCTAATGGTGTTTCCTTGAATGACCTTTTGTCAGCTGGTCCCAAACTACACACGGAAATCCCTTCGATTATTTTACGCTGGAGAAACTATCGCTTTGTTATGACGGCAGATATCTGCAAAATGTTTAGACAAATTCTAATCGACCCCCAAGATCAACACTTACAAAATATAGTGTGTCGCTTGGGACCAGATGAGGAGATAAAACACTTTCGATTACTCACCGTTACATACGGCACGAAATCAGCTCCTTATTTAGCAAATCGAGTGATAAAGCAGTTAGCTGCGGATGAAGGAGAAGATTTTCCAGAAGCTAAAACGGTATTGGAAAACGACTTTTATGTCGATGATGGTTTATTTGGTGGAAATGATTTAGAAAAAACTCGAGTTCTTAAAAACGATTTATGCAAACTTTTAGCGCGAGGAGGTTTTATGTTATACAAGTTTTCCTCAAATGCCCCAGAATTATTATCTGGACATACTGATATTGAAGAAAGTAAAAATCTTGATATAGTAGAAACAGAGAGTAATTGTTCGGTGCTCGGTCTAGTTTGGAATTCGAAAGATGACGAATTTAGATTTACCGTCGCAATGCAACCATTTTCCGTAGTAACCAAACGATTAATTCTATCTGTAATTTCCAAGCTATTTGACCCTTTAGGTTTAGTAGCTCCTATTATAATTGTCGCGAAAATTATAATGCAAGACCTATGGTTACAAAAATTTCAATGGGATTCAGAATTACCCGAGAAATTTAAAGAACAGTGGGTTTCGTATTGTCACAAACTCAACAGTATAAAATCTATTAAAATACCTCGCTGGACTGGTTGTAAAGAGGGGAGTCAAATTGAGGTACATGGTTTCGCAGACGCATCTTCACGCGCTTATGCTGCTGTAGTTTATATTCGTGTTCTAAACCCACATAAGTCACCTATCCTCACTATCTCCCTTGCAAAAACTAAAGTTGCACCTATTAAAATTGTGACCATTCCAAGATTGGAATTATGTGCAATAGTTCTGCTTACAAAATTACTTAAAAGGGTTGTTAGCGATCTTCAACTGAATCAAACTCCAATATATGGTTGGACAGATTCAACAATTGCACTCTCCTGGTTAGCTAAACATCCTTCAACATGGAAGACTTTCGTTGCTAACCGAGTTCAAACAGTACATACATTGCTTCCCTGTATAAAATGGAGACATGTTCCTTCTTCTGATAACCCGGCAGATTGTGCCTCAAGGGGGATTAATCCTTCCGAATTGCAGGAAAACAGACTTTGGTGGCAGGGACCTATTTGGTTAAAAGAACCAGAAGCCTCTTGGCCTTCAAGTCCTGTTCTAGAGTACGGCACAAACGATGAATTACGAAAGTCAAAGATTTATTTAAAGACAACAAAGGGCAATGTAGACTTAGTTAATGAATTAATCGAAAAATACAATAGTTGGCCAATCCTCGTAAAAATTATAACGCTTTGTTTGAGATTTGTCAAAAAGTTTGTTGCACGATATAAAAGAGATTCTAACGCCTTAAACAACCATCCTTGCGTTGTGAAAGAAATGCGTGAAAGCAAACAATTTTTAATACGCTTTATTCAAGGTCAGCATTATGCTAGGGAGATTCAAGATTTAAAAGAAGGACGTCAGATTAAAGGATCAAGTCTTTTAAAATCCCTAAACCCTTTTTTAGATCAGGAAGGTTTACTCAGAGTGTCTGGTCGTTTAAAGAACGCACCAATAGAATACGATGCTCAACATCCTATAATATTGCCAAAACATCGATTAAGTAAATTGTTAGCGCAACAGGCACACTTGAGATGCCTTCACGGTGGCCCTCAGCTAACTTTATTTACATTACGTCAGAATTTTTGGGTTATTAGTGGTAGAAACTTAATACGGAAATTAATTCACGGTTGTATATCTTGTGTACGCCAAAGGGCAAAAACATCGACTCAGCTAATGGCAGATTTACCAGCTCCTCGAGTAACAATTTCTAAACCTTTTACTCATTGCGGATTAGATTATGCCGGTCCTATATCAGTGAAATTAGGAAAAGGCCGCGGTTATCGTTCTCAGAAGGGATACATAGCCTTATTTGTTTGCTTAGCTACTCGCGCGATACACTTAGAGCTAGTTAGCGATATTACAACAGACGGGTTCCTCGCAGCTCTTAGAAGGTTTGTTTCCCGACGTGGCTTGCCGAGTGATTTGTATAGTGACAACGGCAAAAACTTTGAAGGTGCAGATAAGGAACTACAGCGATCCTTTAAAAAATTATGTAAAGACCCAACTCTGAAAGGCTATATTTCAAAAAACGAGATTGTTTGGCACTTTATACCCCCTTATGCTCCCCATTTTGGAGGACTTTGGGAGGCTGGAGTGAAAAGTGTCAAATACCATTTTCGTCGAATTGTAGGCAACTCGACATTCACGTTTGAAGAGCTAGCTACAATATTAAGCGAGATAGAAGCATGTCTTAATTCAAGACCTATAGCCCCTTTTACAGAAAATTCAGATGATTTCTCTTACCTTACACCAGGACACTTGTTGATTGGTCGTCCATTGCTAACAGTTCCAACTCCTACAGTCCTTTCTCTTAACGAAAACAGACTATCTCGTTGGCAATTAGTACAAAGAGTTACTGAACAACTATGGAAACGTTGGTCGATTGAATACTTGCAAGAAATGCAAAAAAGAAATAAATGGACAAAAACGAATGCAAATATATCTCCCGGAGATATGGTTATAGTAAAAAATACTAATCTTCCCAAATGTAAATGGGATCTGGGGCGAGTGGTAATGACTCACCCTGGAAAAGATAACTTGGTTCGCGCAGTAACTGTTAAAACTCACTCAGGAATTTATCAGAGGCCGATTACGCAATTGTGTAAGCTTCCAATAAACAAAAATATGTCTGAATAAAATAAAATAATTTTCCTCATTCAATTTATTTTTCGGAAAATATCAGGAAGTCGCTTATCAATCCTCATGTATATATGTTTAAACTTGTAAATATTGATAGATTAAAGTGCATTTAAATTTTGAGTTCATACTTCGATTTTCGCTCTGTACAGACAGAGCAAGGTGGGCGGTTTGTTAACGCCACTCAAAAAGTTAAGATTTCTTTTGAGAACAATTCAAACTGGTTGTCAAATTTGATCCAACCAGGTTTTGTTGTAAAAACCAGTTGGATCCAACAAAAGCTAGAAAACGGTTATTATCTACGATAATCTAACCGACACTTACGAAATTAGTTAATCAGACAAAAGTCTACAGATTAACAAGACTTTATTACTTTACAAACTCTGGGAAAAACCCATAAGGGTCATAAAATCTTTCCTTTTAAGAAAGTATGACGTCACTGAAAAGGTAGGACCTTCTACCTGTTTAGGTATACAAGCGACGGAAGTGAAAAGGGAACTCTTTATAACAACGAACTCACTTCTTCGGTATCTCTCAATGAGTCAACATGTGAAATCTTACGTTTATTAAAATTATTAAAAATAAAAGTGTTAAAGTTTACAAAAATTATTGTGTTTTATTCAAAAACCCAAACAGTAACTAATCACGAATTTTAGTTTTTTCAAATTTAGAGAACAAAAACGTTTTTTATGATTATACATATACAATTGCAAAAAAGTTAAATAATGTATTTTAATGTTTTTATTTTCAAGAATACGGAAAAAGGAAGCGGACGAAGGTGGAGAAAAAGATATTTTCTCCTGAAGTAAAAAGTTCGAATCAAATAAAAAAAGACAATACCCCCACAGCACCGAAAATTTCCTGAAAATTTCCTAAAGATTTATTTGCAAACTTCGGAAACTTTAATTGCAAAGTTTAAAGAAAATTGTATAAAGATTTAAATGTCCAAAATGAATAAATGTTTGGCGTAAAACTTGACGGAAGATTTAAATTAAATTTTCCAGAAATTTTCGACGCAAAAATTGAGTGAAGATTTAAATTAAAGTTTCGTGAAATGTTTGGCGTAAAAGTTGACTAAAAATTTAAATTAAATATTTATTAAAAATTTATACCGAAAGTTGAGTGAATTGAACCTACGTTCGCCGTGCGCTAGCTAAAGACCCTAACCACTACACTACAGATATCTGGCTGAGAAAAAAAAAATCTTCCTCAGGCTCTACAACTGGCTGATAGAAAAATAATCTTACTTATCGACCTAAAAGGGCGGGCTCATTTAAAAAGGTTTTCACGGAGATATTTGAATATTCTGAATATTCACATTGAAGGTGAATATAAAAATTAAAAGTGAATCGAAATAATACTGTAAAATCATGACTGAAGGTCATGTGAAAAGGTTATTATAAAATTAATTATTTTTTTAAATATTATCTATTAATTAAAAATTCACAAATTTGCGAAAATTAATTTTAAAATTTTTTATTTATTAATAAACAATTATATTAGTATTGTTAAAGACAAGAAAAAGCGTTTTAAAAATAATTAAGAAAATAATTTCAATATATTAAAATAAGAAATGAAAGTGAACACAAAAATTCTATTTTTTAAACATTTAAATAAAAATTATTATTCAAAAATTATTTATTAGAATTAAAAATGTATTAATTAATGAAAAATTAATTTTTAAATATTTTATTTTTTGTAAAAGATTGTGGCCTTTACAAAATGGTTTTTAAAGTTGAAATACAATTTTTTAAAAATTAATATTTCGATTCGAAATAAAATTGACTAAATAAACAGAAAAAAATGCTTGTAATATGTTTATTTGTGACAATTTGTAAAATTTAATTATTTACAAAATGTTGAATTACAATTCTTTAAAAATTCGTTTTTTTAAATTTTACTAAAATAAATTAAAAATTCGTTTTTTTAAATTTTACTAAAATAAATTAAAAAATAATTATTTTTGAAAATTCAATTATTTTGAAAAAAATTGAATTAAAATATTTTTTAAAATCTAATTTTTTTAAATACCTACTTTAAATAAAAAAAATTTAAATACATACAAAAAAATTATATTACTTAGAACTAGGATAAGTAAATTAAACAATTAATATAAACACATTTATTAAAAAATTTAAGTAAACACAAAAACATATAATATAATTCTTAAAAATTAATTTTTTATTAGTTATTACATTTTTAATTATAATAAATAATTTTTGAATAATAATTTTGATTTAAATGTTTAAAAAATAGAATTTTTGTGTTCACTTTCATTTCTTATTTTAATATATTGAAATTATTTTCTTAATTATTTTTAAAACGATTTTTCTTGTCTTTAACAATACTAATATAATTGTTTATTAATAAATAAAAAATTTTAAAATTAATTTTCGCAAATTTGTGAATTTTTAATTAATAGATAATATTTAAAAAAATAATGAATTTTATAATAACCTTTTCACATGACCTTCAGTCATGATTTTACAGTATTATTTCGATTCACTTTTAATTTTCATATTCACCTACAATGTGAATATTCAGAATATTCAAATATCTCCGTGAAAACCTTTTTAAATGAGCCCGCCCTTTTAGGTCGATAAGTAAGATCTGGCTGAAAAAAAAAATCTTCCACACACTCTACAACTTTATATTATCGACTTTTGAGTCGATAAGTAGGATCACTTGTCTATCAGTAAGTTGTAGAGTGTGTGGAAGATTTTTTTTTTTCAGCCAGATATCTGTAGTGTAGTGGTTAGGGTCTTTAGCTAGCGCGCGGCGAATGTAGGTTCAATAATAATAATAATAAAGATCTATATATCTATGTATTATTATTATTAATATTAATAATAATATTAATACTTCTTAAATATTATTTTTGTATTTTTTACAAATATTTTCGTACAACCTTTTCTGAAAATTTAATTTAAATTTTTAGGAAATGTTCGTCACAAAAATTGACTGAATATTTAAATTAGATTTTCACGAAACTTTAATTTAAATCTTCACTCAATTTTCGCGTCGAAAATTTCTGAAAAATTTAATTTAAATCTTCCGTCAAGTTTTACGTCAAACATTTATTCATTTTGAACATTTAAATCTTTATACAATTTTCTCTAAACTTTGCAATTAAAGTTTACGAAGTTTGCAAATAAATCTTTAGGAAATTTTCAGGAATTTTTCGGTGCTGTGGGGGTATTGTCAATTTGAAAACAAATGTTCGTCAGCAAAGAGTAAGTTACGAAGTATTCTTTTATATGTACCTATAAATATTTATATCTAACCATAATGTTTATGAATTAGGGATGAAACAATTAATTACCCATTCATATGTATTTGGCAGTTAGAAAAACATTTATTGAAATAGATTTTTTAATGTACAACTTGTGACTATAATGAATTGGTAATAATACTGATTGTGAGTACTGCAATACGTAATAAAAAGTTCTAAAGATGTTCCATACATATAAATGTTTAAGGCGGTGTTTACATGCTTGCGATCGAACGCTGCGTTTTGCGTTAAACAATGAGTCTAAAGTTGGTTCCACAATGAGCTCGTCGCGTTGACGCGACGCATCTCATGCTAATCAAATAGAGGCCCTCTCCAGAATGGAGCTAAACGCGACGCATCGCAATGCTAAGCAAATGGGGATGCGTCGCGTTTGCGTTGCGTTTAGCTACATTCTGGAAAGGGCAAGCATGTAAACACAGACTATTTCAACATATCATATGCGTACTCTCTAAATCTCAAATATCGATAAGTATACCACTGATTCCAAACTCCCTCATTTATTAGCGCATACACTTTTTTATAATCAGTCTAGGCCTGTATGGTAAATCGGTATATCGGTTTTTTCTGGTAGTTTTGGAAATCTATTTCCAGTTATGAAATTAAGATTTCAGGTTTTTTCTAAAATGGTTCTTTTTATTAAAAATGCGAGATACCTAATCTATTTTAATTGTAAGGCGACAAAGGTTCAGATTGAGATACTGAGAGACTACAATGTTTTAAATATACACTGGGAACAAATTGAAAAATCCGATTAATATCAATTATGTTGTCATGTCAAGAAATAAAAAATTTTATATATCTATTACTTCTGGACAGCACCAGAGCTGAGTCCGGGTATACCTTCCAGACTAATGACGCTATTCAGGGTCTTATTAGTGTCTGAGTAGCACCAGAACTGGGTCAAGATAGATCTTTCAGACTAGCGATGGTAGATGCTTTCTAGAGTTCGTCAGGCTTGACTCTAGGCGTTCCAGAAGAGTTTTCTACACGGGTCAGACCAGCACCAGATCTGGGTCTGGCTAGGCCTTCCAGAACAGCATCGCTAGACACAGTCTATAAATTACAAAATAAAAATTTTTAGTTATCTAGACTTTCTGGACAGCATCAGATCTGGGTCTGTCTAAACTTTTCAGACTAGTGCCGCTGTTCAGGGTCTGACTAGTGTCTGAGTAACACCAAAATTGGGCCAAGCTAGATCTTCCAGACTAGCGATGCTGGACGCTTTCTAGATTACGTCAGGCTTGACTCTAGGCACCCCAGAAGTTTTTTCTACACGGGTAGAATAACATTTTTAATAAGTACAAATAAAAAAAAAATTTAACTAATTACTAAATATTAATACTAATTACCATTCATCTATGGTACATTTGACACAATTTTCTATTATATTAAATACATTTTGAAATTACTAACTTCTGGAGTCCCAACATGTATCCTTTTGGAGTTATAGTTAAGAGAGCTGATGATTATCGAGTTTAATTATGCCGGGGGCATAATCTCTGCTTGCTATTAACTTCTTAAAATTTCACAGTGCAATAATAACGAACAGAATTCTAGCTCACATTGTCAATTTTTTTAAGTCTTTTCTTTTAGTGTATGATAATATCAAGCAATACATGTCCTTTGCAGGTAATAACTGCTTGTTAAATTACAGAATTCAGACTCTTAACTAATCAGTCACTAAGACACTGAGTTCATTAAGCTGCTT